TTTTTTCATCCATGAGACCAAGCAGAAGTGAAACATGTTCTGTGTAAAATCATCAGTTTGCCATCTCTTGTTTTCTGACAACTCACGTGATCTGACGCCATCTGTGCTCACACACCCATCCATCTCCACAAGTCTGGTCAGAGTAGATGGGAACAGGCTTGGTGGATCCATCACCATAGCTGGGAGGGCCCATCCAGTCATTCTGATCCTATAGCACAATGATTAATAAAAGGATGAAACCAAAAGTACTCCCAAGCACATTGGATCTACAACAAAGAACATACTTTTCCATTCACAAAGTTGCGGTCCCAGCGGAAGCTAGACATGACCCTGGTTAAACCGTAAGGGTGAGCCAGCATGTAGCCGACAGCCATCTTGTAGAGTCTGGAGTCCCAGAAGGTAACAATGGATGCACCACCAGCGCCATGACCTCTCTGGTTGTCGTGGTTGTCAACAAAAACTACAGCATTGCCATCAGCCATGAATCCCCATCCCTCTCCCCAGTTCCTGAAAACAGAAACACAAATCAGCAATTTGCTTCAAAATAATATTATTGACTAAGCATTCAAGCCAGAAACTCTAGGTGTCTATTCTCAGAAGCAATGTGTTTGCACTTTTGGCATTAGACACAAAAATGACATGTAAAAAACATTTCAGTTTCAGTGTGATATATGATTTAGGTAGTTGAAATACACTTACTTGGTGTAGCACAGCTTCTCATTGTTCCATTTTCTGAAGACAGTTCCCAGTTTAGCCCCATATTTGAACTCAGTCACTCTTCCCAAATGGAAATACTCACTAGATGAGATGGCCTCACCTCCCAGATCAATAACCTAGATCAAAAACAACACATAATCCATACGTTAAACTGAGTTAGATTAACAGTAACATATCAGCATTGTAGCATAGCTTTTTAGTTCTGTCGTAATAAAAATCATATCTATGCTATAAATATCTTCCATGCCTTTTAGGAAGTCAGAGCACACTATTATTCTTTTTTTTTTTTATCACATTTGTTTCTTATTACTGCTGATTTTTCATTTGTGCACCTTGAGCTACAACATTTCATATTATGTGTCATTTCAGTATTTGTCAACTAATAACTGCATTCATGTTAACATCTGCTCCCTGAGCGTCCGAGTTTGTCAGCTTGTTTTCTGGGCTTCTTTTCCCACGGCCCTGCTGACTGCTGCTTTGAGATATCAGTCATAAATACTGGACATGTGGGTGGTTTTTACTTATCCAATCACATGCTTACATATAGATTACAGCTGGGGCTTGACCAATCGTGCATTGAACACAAGTAGGTGTTTCTGGCAGCAGTTTGTGTTCACTCTGCATGTTTTCCTGCAAATCAAGTTCAAATAGGTTCATCTAACCTGTTGGTACAGCAAGATATTCTGACAAAACAAACAACTGTCAAATACAGATGTGAACTGAAGTTACATCTGTATTTGACAATGCCTTTTACAATACAATGGTACCTAACTGATGCCAGTGTATAATAATTATATAGTGCACATATTTTAGTCTTTTAAGATTTAAGAGAGTGTCCCATTATATTTAAGGGACCTTTAAAAAAGCATTTTGGGAAAACTACCTCCTGGAAGATGAAGGCTCTGGAGCCACCAGAGAACCAATTGGTGTTGAGGTTGTGCAGACGACCGTAGACGACCTCCAAGTCACCGGGCCACATGTGCTTGGTGGCATCCACTCTGAACCCAGCCACACCCATGTCAATCAGCTTGTTCATGTAGTCAGCCACCTTTCCTCTGACATAATCTTTCTCCAGGGCGAGGTCCAACAGACTAACCAGACGACAGTCACGCACCTGGAGGAGTTGATACTCATACCAGTTATGCATGTGTTAAAAGCTTTTCTGGCTAAAACAATCTATCAAATTTACCATTTTTATGTGGACGTTTTTTTTTTCTGTTACTGCTCAAAACATTTAAATGACAAGGTCAGACTTGTACATTACCAGCTAAATCAAAATCATAGGATTCAATGTGACTAAGTCAAATTGTGGGTCTGTGTGAGAACTGCTGAATAAGTTGTGTTATATGAATTCTTTAATTGCCTTGAAATAAAAAAATTTACTCGTAAAAAGGCAAATTTCGCTGTTCCGACAGTGTTTCTTTGTGCTATTCATTACCTGATATTTGTCACCGTAGTTCTCAATTTCTCCACTGGCAGTATTACATTTGTAGTCGTTGAAGTCCAGGTTGGAATAGGGGACAGTGGGGAAGTCTTGCTTGCTGGCACTGAACCAGCTGCCACATGAGGAATGTGTTCCCTCTCCACCACCAGCTCCACACATATGGTTGATAACGGCGTCCACATAAATGTTGACCTATTGCAATAAATAGCCTTGAAAGTGCAACACACCCAATGAACATTTTTCGTCTATCCATAATCACTTTTGTTTATATATTTTTATGTTAAGTTCATTCCTATGTAATTGGCTAAATTGAATTATGGCAGAGTGGGTCTTAATTATCTTTTCCTGTAATGCCAGTTGTCATTTATGGTATTGTTTCCATTAAACAGTTTGACACCAGTGCCATAAAATCGATCTGGTAAGAATTTGTGGTTTTATACAAGCCTGTAGATTTACAAGGAGCTATCAAATATTATACAACAATGTTCCTAATGCTCACTAAATCACTGCTGTAATGTAGTTTACCCCAACGTTGTTGCATCTGGTGATCATGTCTTTCAGCTCGTCCTCATTGCCAGATCTGGAGCACAAGTTGTAGCCGATTGGTTGGTATCTCTGCCACCAGGGTCTAAAGGGACTGTCCAGCACAATGTGCTCACTTGGAGGAGAGATCTGATCAAAATAAATAAATAAAATTAAGGAGAGAAAAATAAAATAAAATAAAATATCTATTTTTTTAAAACTAGTTATTACTTTTGAAACAGAAGCACAAAAGCTGGACTCTTGTATGCATAACGTACAGGACACATAGTGACTATATGTTAAACTATTTTAATTAACGCTTTTATACTTCTTGTAGCAATCTGTGTGCAGACTTCTTGCGCATCATCATCATGCAGCTTGAATATTGTTGATTTATTTATTGTCAATATAGAAAAGAACGACTGCTGTCCTTCTAAAGACCTAGAAAAAGCTCCACACTTACGCTCAGCCATACATACCTGAACACCTCCAAAGCCTTTGGGCCCTAAGAAGCGTTCACACTCTGCAGCAATGTCGGCCCAGCGCCACTCGAAGAGATGGACGATGGCTGTCCTTCCATATTTGAGGTGGGCGTCGTGTTGAGCGAGGCTGAGCCCGAACACAGCAACCAGAATGAACAACTTCATGCCTTCCCTGGATGAGAGAGAAAACCACACTAACTCTCTGCTGCACCAGTCATATTTAAACTCCCTCTGCTGGACCAATGAGAGGCTGGTAAACATCAGCATGGAAATTAAACAGGTGCATTTTTATCACTTTTTTCTGCTTCCTTTTAAACCAAGCAGGAAAAACAGCTTCAAGGCATGTGCTGGCTGGAAACATACAAATATGAGGTGTAGAGAACATAAATGACAGATAATTTAATGAGACTGCAAAAGATCCTAATGCTTGTAATGTGTCTTTTGTATTGATTTTTGATTTAAGGTTTCTGTCATTTTCAAAACAAATTGAAGCAGAACGAAAAAACAAAACAAAAACAAAAACAAACAAACAAAAAAACGACAACAGTACCCAACAAAAGTATATTCGGATCTAATATATTATTTATCTTGCAGTGATTCATTATGAGAACAACTCTGACCACTGTGAACATGACAATTCAGGTTAATCCTGCTTTAATATTTGTTCACGCAGTTCAACAACCAGATGATGTTGCAACAGGCAGTCTAAATTTATACAAGACTTTGATTTGGAGGAAGTATTTTTTGGGGGGCAAAGCAAATAAAAGGCTGAGCCATTTAAAGTCAGTACTTTTTTTCTCTCTAATTTTGTGTTTGTGTGTGAGTTATGGTGGCACATATGTGTGGGAAAGTAAACACATTCACCACCATTTACTTTTCCATGTTTAAAATTTAGACCTAATCTAACCTGAGTGTTTATGTAATATCAGGTCTGTCCTTGACAATTTGGCTATAAACCTACTTTGGTAACAAGATTATGTAAATGTGTTGCAAAAACATCTTCATTTATATATCAAGTATCAGTTAGAACAATGTGAACAATACCCCTGGTTGGAAATTAACTTTTTATGGTCCATATATTAGTTCTTGGTCTTATTTTAAGAAATATACATATTACTAAGTGTGGCTGAAAACGAATCACCACTCTATTATTCAGCAGTGCACAGAATCTCACACAGCGCAGGGTTATGGGAGAGGAGCTCCCCAAGTAAAAGGACTGTCAATATTTCTATTCTTCTTATCACGCTACCTATGGGGGGCAAGTTCTCTCTGTTCTGGACAGTATGCCTTTGTTTTATCATGGGAGGATTGTTTTAAGTTTCTCTTTTACCTTGCATAGGACTGCATCATTAATTTCTCTTTCATCTATCACCGGAATGTAGCTCACTGTGGTAGGAGTATAACTTCTTGCATCACCAGCGTATCTTTCTAAGAACTCCTTCACATCCTCAAAAACTAATAAGCCACATGGAAAAACAGAAAAACAATCCTCAGTATTTTTCCATCGCTTAGTTACCGATTTTGTCACAAAATTTGTTGGCAGTTAAAACACATGCAACATCCTTGTGTAACTTCACAGGGTTATCCATTGTGTATCAAGAAAACACAATACAGCTACTTCCAAGTGAGAAACATAGAAGGTCAAATAGAGTCTGTGGAACTAAATCAGGACTGACAAAACTCGAGCATTTTCCCAATACAGTACTAAGCACCGTGGGATCTCCTGGAGAATTGATTGGTCAGTAGGTGATGTTTTAATATTTGTTGATGTGTTATATTGAATGTTACCTGCTCCAGGACAGATTAAGTATGCAGCATAAATCACGATGGTTATATACCCTATTAAGAAGTGAACCACCATCATAGGCCTGAAAACCCAGAGTTAAACCTAAAGCTACCTTGCTAACCTTAAATTTTACTTCGTAGTCGGCCTCAGAAGAGTAGGAGGAATACAGAAAAACTGAAGCAGGAAACAGAAAGGTAAATGGGCAGACATTAACTACAAGTGAAAAGAGGGAAAGAAAAGACAAGACTATTAGGTGACAAGACACAGGTGAAACCAATGAGGGTGGCGCACACAATCAAAAATAAGAAAAAATGCACAAAGAGAGACAACAACTACAGATATCTCAAATGCTATTTAGCCCAGTCAAAACCCTAATTAATATCCATTCCTCCGTCCATCCTTTTTCTTCTGCTTATCCAAGATCAGGTTGTGGAGGCAGCAGGTTAAGCAGGTTATGCCAGAAGTCTCTCTCCCCAGCAATGCTTTCCAGTTATTCCTGGGGGACCCTGTGACCTTAGATATAAAATCCCTTCAGCAGGTTCTGCGTCTACCTTGGAGTCCCTTCCTTGGCAAATGGGCACGGAAAACTTCCAAAGGAATTCCCCCAGGAGGCATCCAAATCAGATGTCTGAACCACCTCAACTGGCTCCTTTCGATGTGAAGAAGCAGGGACTCTATTTTGAGTTCCCTCTGGATGTCCAAGCTCCTCACCTTATCTCCAAGGCCGAGCCCAGCTACCCAGCCGCTTGTACCCATGATCTTGTTCTTTCGGTCACCATCCAGAGCTCATGGCCATAGATCAAGAATGGAATGTAGACTGACTGGTAAATTGAGAGGTTCCCTTTTGGATTACCTCCATCTTACTGCTGATGCTGCACCAAGCCACCTTTCCATCTTACTCTCCATTTTCCCCATCACTAATGAATGCAATCCCAAATTTTACTAAAAGTCCTGCGCTCAGGATCAGAGACAAGGGACAGCTCTGGCAGAGTCCAACACCAACAGGGAACATGTTTGACTTTGTGCCAAGAATACGAACACAGCTCTCACTTTGGTTATACAAGGACTGAATTGCTCATAACAATGACCTCGGCACCCCATACTCCTCCAGGACCTAACTAAAAAGGTTGGGTAAGTACCCGAGCTGCTGTTTGGTACATAAGCACAAGCAACAGTCAGATTTTTCCCTGCATATCACACAGTTGCAGAGAGACAACCCTCTTGTTCTCTGGGGAAAACTCTAACAAAATGGTCCTCAGTTGGGGGCTTATGAGTATCTGTTATGCCCAGCTCGTTGAAGAGCATAACAAAGAAGGGAGGTCGACACGGGAACAGCTTTAAAGTAAATGAGTAATTTATTGAAAACATTCAACAAAGGAAAACTAATAATAAAGTCTACAAACTCAGGTTAAACTCAGCATAATCAAATACAACCAAACCAAACCAGGAGAGACCTGAAAGGCTCCAGCCTTCCAGGAGGGAAAAAGAGAGAGAAAGCCATCTTGGATTCACCCAGCTTTTAAAGGCACCAAGCAGGTGAAACCAATCCTTTAATGAAGTGGGAGGGGCAGGTCATCCAGACTGGAAAAAGGAAAGCAGAGGCAGGAAAACACACACTGGCAAGGCCTGTGGCCGTCACAGTATCTCAATACCTGCTCAGTTCCTCTCATCCTGGGCAACTCTGAAAAAAAGCAACTCCAGGCCCTCTTCTGTCGTTTGATTCCAGAAGCTTTGCCGTGCATGGAATGAGGCCAGCTATATGTACTCAGTACCACTTCACTTCCCACAACAGCTCAAATATACAGGCATGGAAAAAATTGTTAGACCACCCTTGTTTTCTTCAATTTCTTGTTCATTTTAATGCTTGGTACCACTAAAGGTATACTACCTGAAAAACACGAATACGACAAAACATGCAGCTGATTACATAATACTTTATGTCCAATTAGACATGCTAAAGCTTAATTGTATTCCCTGGGTATATGAGAGGCCATTTCATGTCATAAGCAGCACTGCACATGCAAAGGCCTAAAGTGGCTTCCTGCTCACATTCAAGCCAGAGCACAACTCAGAAGTTGTCAGCTCACACATAATGCCTACAACAAAAGAATTATGTGAAGCCACAAAGGCAGCCATCTCGGCACTGCTTGAAATTGGCATGAGTGAGACAGGTAGCGAAGAAAATGAAGATATCCAAGACAGACATTCAGTACACCAAGAAAAAAACAAGCTGAACATGGTACTACCAAATTGCTAGCTGGTTGCAGCAGAAAACGTCTTTCTACCCCACGAGATGACCGTGCACTCATTGGTTCCTGTGTCAGGATTCATTGTCAGACCTCCAGAGACCTTAAAAATGAGTGGGCACTGTTGAGAAATGTGACTTGTTCATCAAGGACAGTTAGAAACCGACTTCTTGAAGCTGGTCTGAAGACACACAGGGCACGGAAGAAGCCCCTCATCAAGAAAAAGCAGAAGAAGGCCCGGTTACTCTTTGCTGGGGATTACAAAGGTTGGACTGTTGATGATTGGGCTAAGGTTCTCTTCAGTGACGAATCCAATGTTCAGTTGATGCCCACTCGAGCCAACTTACTGGTTAGAAGGAAGCCTGGAGAAGCCTACAAACCAGACTGTCTTGTCCCTACTGTAAAACATGGGGTGGACCAGTAACGATCTGGGATTGTTTCAGTATGGGTGGAACAGGGCAAATGCAATTTTGTGAAGGGCGAATGAAACCAGGTCATGTACAGGGCTGCTCTTGAAAACAGTCTTCTTTCATCAGCTGGAAAACTCTTTCCTGCCTCGAGTGACTGGATTTTCCAAAAGACAATGCCCCTTGCCACACAGCAAGGTCAGTTAAAGCCTGAATGGAGAACCAGAACATTGGAACCATACCTTGGCCTGCTCAATAACCAGATCTAAATCCAACTGAAAACCTGTAGAAAATCATCAAACATAAAATGGGGACCCACAAGCCTAAAAACAAAGCAAAATTGTTTGAATTTGTGCAGCAGGACTGGGCTGCTGTGACAACAGAACAATGTCAGAAACTGGTGGAGAGCATGTCAAGACGCATGGCTGCAGTCATCAAAAACAATGGTTATGCAATCATGTACTAACTCCTGTGTGTATCATGTGACTGAAAACAGACAGAATGCCTAAAAGTACTGTTTTTGGCAGTACAATGCCATAGCTATTGTTCGAACTTAAGTGATTTTGGTTATTATCAAGAAAACCATGGAAAACGGCTAGATATCAGCTCTTAAATGAAACTCTTATGAGCTACTTTTGTTATCATTATACTTGTCCAAACAAATGTGCCTTTAGTGGTACCAGGCATTAAAATGAACAAGAAATTGAAGAAAACAAGGTGGTCTACTATTTTTTCCCATGACTGTATTTGATTGTTTCCATTACTTAACAGCTATTATAATTATGAGAATGCCAAACTGTGTAGCCTCTCTTTTCTAGACTGCTACTGACTTTATAGATCAAGCTCATAAAACCTGTGTTTTTATATATTAAATATTAACGCTACATCAGCAACACTGAAAACCTGCTTAAATGTTCACTGTGTAAGATTTAGTTGCATCTGGTGGTGAGGTTGTAGACTGCAACCATCTAGATATCCGTTGCCTTACTGTCTTCTTCCAAGCATGTAGGAGAAGTTTGGATGGTTGCAAAAAAGCCAGAAGCCCTCTCCAGAGTCACTGTTTGGTTTGTTCATTCTGGACTGCTGTAGAAACATGGCAGTGCAACATGGCAAACTCAGCATAGGAGGAACTGCTCCCTCTAATAATATAAAGAGGTCATAGTAACCTAAGGGAAACACAAAAATCCTTATTTTAGGTGAGTAGACACATGTAATTATTAAAATTATATTCCCCATCTATCCATTTTATCTTCTGGACGGTGCTGGAGTCTATCCCAGGTGACTTAGGGCGAAGGCAGGATACACCCTGCACAGGTTGCCAGTCCATCATACAACCATCGCAGAGACAAATAACCAAGCGGTTTAAAATCACCAATTAACCTGAGCATGTCTTTGGACTGTGTGAGGACACATAAGCACATGATGAAAACCCATGTGGGCACAGAGAGAACATGGAGAACATGCAAATGTCACTGCATTTGAACCTAGCACTTTCTGACTTTGATGCAACATTGCTAGCCTCCCCATATAATAAATAAATAAATAAATATGCTCGCCATTTAAGTTTAAAAATGATGATTTATTTTTTTATTGACAATGTGTTTACAGCTTGGATTCAGCATGGATAGCAACGAAGGGGTCTTCATCTTGGTTGCTGATCCTGAAGTGGGCACGGCCATCACCACCAACTTGGATCTGCTTCCCAGTGCACCTGCTTCCTTCCTTCTGGCCAGAAATGACATCACAGTAGGTGCCACCAGGCATGCCAGTGTTCAGGGTTGCATCCAGGTTCCTGGAGGTGAAGACAAGGTATATATTGTTAAAACCACTCCAATGTCAAAACTGAAGTAATTTGTAAGAATCTTGCCTTTCAGTTTTGCTTATTTTCTTCAAAATAGAGAAATAAAGCGTACACCAGTAGTATATTGGTAAGGGAGAGACAGGCCTTGCATGATGGGGAAAGAAGTGACACAAATACCACATACATGCCTGAAAATAAGATATTACTTTTTGAAAATTATGAAATTTGTCTCATGTTTAACGACAAGACAATTTCATTTACAAAACTTTGGGTATTGTTTTTTTTCAGTGTTAAATTGTGGATTGGTTATATCCCAAATATTGATGGTAAAGCATTTTCAGAGTCACGAGGGGCCACCCTATTACAAGGCTGATTGTGTATCACCATAATGAGGATGTTCATGTGAAAAAATATTTCAATATGCGCCTCAACAGTCTTGTAGATACTGACATGCACCTGCCCCCAGTTCCATATATTTGTTTATCCTCAATTTAATGTGAAATTCCTTTTTTTTTCAGTACCAGTTAGATTGCTAAGTCCTTACCAGTCATCATTGTTAAAGACGATGAAACCACGATTACCACGTCCAAAGGCAACCTGGTTGCTCTGATTGTCCCACCAGTTGGAGTGAGGCTGTCCGTTGACCACGTTACGGAACTTGACCATGTTCCTGAAGGGGAGACGAATCAAAATCAAATCCAATCTTACTTCATACTTTTTTCATCCATGAGACCAAGCAGAAGTGAAACATGTTCTGTGTAAAATCATCAGTTTGCCATCTCTTGTTTTCTGACAACTCACGTGATCTGACGCCATCTGTGCTCACACACCCATCCATCTCCACAAGTCTGGTCAGAGTAGACGGGAACAGGCTTGGTGGATCCATCACCATAGCTGGGAGGGCCCATCCAGTCATTCTGATCCTTCAATGATCAGCAAATATGTTGAACAAAGCTGTTCCAGATGCACACATTGCATTTTGTCATTACCAAAGAGAAAACATACTTTGCCATTGACGATGTTGCGGTTCCAGCGGAAGCTAGACATGACCCTGGTTACTCCATAAGGGTGAGCCAGCATGTAGCCGACAGCCATCTTGTAGAGTCTGGAGTCCCAGAAGGTAACAATGGATGCACCACCAGCGCCATGACCTCTCTGGTTGTCGTGGTTGTCAACAAAGACCAGAGCATTGCCATTGGACATGAATCCCCATCCCTCTCCCCAGTTCCTGGACACATAAGGACAATTTTACGAATGAGCAAGTCTTCTGGACAAAGTATTACTTTACAATTTAACTTAGAACCTCTGAAACTTACTACTTCTGGTCAAACAGAATTTATGCATGTAAGAAATTATTTGTTAAATCTTGCAATGAATTGTGAATATGTGGTTACTGTTATCTCATGGTTAAATAACCTCTTCTGATACACCCCTGTGATATACTGTAGGATTTAAGCACAAAAACACTAAAACACTTACTTGGTGTAAGACAGCTTCTCGCCATTCCATTTTCTGATGACATTTCCCAGTTTGGCGCCATATTTGAATTCAGTCACTCTTCCCAGATGGAAGTACTCTCTAGATGAGATGGCCTCACCTCCCAGATCGATAACCTAGAGCAAAAACAGCCCATAACTCATATCATCCATGCTCTGTAAATTGGTATGGTTTAGATTTACTGCACCATATCAGTGTGTTGTGAACTGACAAAACTGATACAACAACTCTCCTGGTAAACATGTTTTTAGTTTTTAGTGAAGACAAGGCATATGTATTCTAAACATCACAGGGTGATTTTGAAGTTTACTTTTCTTGATTTTTACTTGAGCACCTTGAGCTTCAACCTTTTATATTATAGCATATATATTCTAATAAATAAATAAATTTGAAAGGTAAAGTGAAAAACTACCTCCTGGAAGATGAAGGGTCTGGAGCCACCAGAGAACCAGTTGGTGTTGAGGTTGTGCAGACGACCATAGATAGCAGACAGGTCACCGGGCCACATGTGCTTGGTGGCATCCACTCTGAATCCAGCCACACCCATGTCAATCAGCTTGTTCATGAAGTCAGCCACCTTTCCTCTGACATAATCCTTCTCCAGGGCGAGGTCCAACAGACCGACCAGACGACAGTTGCGTACCTGGAGCAGTAAATGACTTTTTGCCTCACAATCCACAGCATCATTTATCATGATTAACTTTATACTAATATAATCTTTCTAATGTACAATCTATATGTATAGATTTTACTCATATCTGTTGTCACTGTAAGGCCAGTTACCAAAACAGTTTAAAACCAGTTAGTGTGACCTTTGCAGTGAAAACTTGTGAAAAGTGAATTAACAAAAAGGGAAAACTGTCACACCTCTCGTAGTTTTTCTCAGAGATATTCATTACCTGATTGGCGTCACCATAGTTCTCAATTTCTTCACTGCCAGTATGGCATTTATGGTCATTGAAGTCCAGGTTGGAAAAGGGGACACTTGGGAAGTCCTCCCTGCTGGCACTGAACCAGCTGCCACATGAGGAGTGGGTTCCCTCTCCACCACCAGACCCGCACATATGGTTGATGACAGCATCCACATAGATGTTGACCTGTGATTACGTACAGGATTGAAGGTTCTCAGATCACAGATACATGCCAAAGGTGCACTGCCCACTGCTGGTTTGTTGGTCCAGTCACTCAAACACTCTACAAAACCACTAAATGTCTTTCATAAAAATGTGAATGACTGCACCTTAAAAAAGCTACATTTATTTGTTAAATTTTTGGACTTTTCTCATTTTGTCCTAAAATAGCAGGTATCTGTTATAAAACAGTTTGGCACTCATGCAACACATATAAAGTTTCATAAAATATATCTGGTAAGAATTAATGGTTTTGTACAAGCCTGTAGATTTACAAGGAGCTATCAAATATTATACAACAGTGTTCCTAATGCTCACTAAATCGCTGCTGTAATGTAGTTTACCCCAACTTTGTTGCATCTGCTGATCATGTCTCTCAGCTCGCTCTCACTGCCAGATCTAGAGCACAACTTGTAGCTGATTGGTTGGTATCTCTGCCACCAGGGTCTGTAGGGACTGTTCACCAAAATGTGCTCATTTGGAGGAGAGATCTGACAGAAAGAAAGAAAGAAAGAAAGAATATATGGAGAAAAAAAACATTAGTTATCACTTTTAAAACAGGAGCAAAAAATGTTGGAATCATGTGTACCATCTTCATATTTCACTTAAAAAAAAAAAGAATAACAATAATTAATTATTCTATAATGCATAGAATACATAGTGACTATATGTTAAACTATTTTAATTAACTCTTTTATACTTCTTGTAGTAATCTGTGTGCAGACTTCTGGTGCATCATCAACATGCAGCTTGAATATTGTTGATTCGTTTTCTGTCAATTAGGAAAAGAACGACTACTGTCCTTCCAAAGAACTAAAATAAGCTCCACGCTTATATATGAGCCATACATACCTGAACACCTCCAAAGCCTTTGGGACCCAAGAAGCGTTCACACTCTTTAGCAATGTCGGCCCAGCGCCACTCAAAGAGATGGACGATGGATGTCCTTCCATGTTTGAAGTTTGGGTTGTGTTGGGCGAGGCTGAGCCCGAACACAGCTACCAGAATGAACAACTTCATGCCTTCCCTGGATGAGAGAGAAAACCACACTCACCCTCTGCTGCACCAGTAATTTATACTCATTTTCCCTCTGCTGGACCAATGAGAGGCTGGTAAACATCAGCATGGAAATTAAACAGGTGCATTTTTATCACTTTTTTCTGCTTCCTTTTAGATCAAGCAGGAAAAATAGCTTCAAGGCATGTGCTGCTGGAAACATACAAATATGAGGTGTAGATAACATAAACGACCAATAATTTAATGAGACTGCAAAAGATCCTAATGCTTGAATGTGTCTTCTTGATTTCTGTGCAGGTCAAAATAAACAAAAATCACACTTGCTTTGACAAAATGAACTTTAAGTATCGTAAGTAGCAACAGTAACCCCCAAAAGCATGTTCTCCTTGATCTAATATTACGTGATTTATCTTGCATGGATTCTTACCATTTCGAACATGAGAATTCAGGCAGCTTAAATGTATAAAGTACTTTGATTTGGGAGAAATATTTAATTAAGGGCAAAGCAAATAAAAAGCTGAGTCATGGAAAGTCCTTTTTTTGTTTGTTTTGTTCACTTTATTTTGTGAGAGTGTGTGTGTGTGTTTGTTGGTGGGTTATGGTGGCAGGTATGTGTGGGAAAAAAGACACCTTCATCACCATTTACCACTTTTCCACGTTTTAAATTTCTGTCTATTCTAACCTGAGTGATTATGTAGTAGAGGGACTGTCCTTGACAGTTTGGCCGTTAGCCGACTTTGGTAATGAGATTATGTAGCCTTGTCCACCACAAAAGCAGCAGGTTGTTTTTATCTCATGCTTGTTGTACTCGTCTCGAATTAAAAGTTTTACAATGGAAATTAAATAAGTATGTTGGACTTCTTACAAATATATCTTTATTTATGTGTCAAGTATCAGTTAAAACAATGCAAACAATATTTGTGGTATGACATGGAGTTTTTATGGTCCATATATTAGTTCTTTGTCTTGTTTTGAGAAATTACCACATTGCAGCAGTCAGTTTTATGTACTGTTCCAGGTTTTGTGTCACAGATTTAGTGCCAGATTTAACTTTTATAAACTGCTTAAATGAATACTTTCAAAGTGAGATGTGTACGTCAGTGATATCAGTAGTGTAGGTGCGGATGCCTGGATGTCTGGATGCCTGGATGCAATGTGGTGCGAGGTGTTGTCTAATGTAAAGACCAAACCAAAATGACACAGGCCCAAATCACAAGCATGAGGAGAGAGACCAGGAGCTGAGGGGCTGGCCCTTTTGCAGCCTGGGAGCACTGGGGCCAAGCATGCCAAGCAGGTAGGACCGACCACCTGAGGAAGTGGAGCACAACACAGCTCAACCAAAAAATCTGGACCCCAGAACGATCTCCCATTGAAGGGGTGACAAAGAAAAACACACAAATTCATTATCCAGCTTGGCCATTTGCTAAACCCCACCTGCTTACAGCAACTCCAGAATATGTGAGAAGCACTTTAAGAAAGCAGTTAAAGCAGGGTCAGGTCAAGACAAGGCAAAAAAAGTTGTTGGCAGTTACAAAACATGCTACATCCTTGTTTAACTTCACAGGGATATCCACTGTGCATCAAAGAAAATCAATACAGCCACTGTCAAGTAAGAAACATAGAAGAACAAATAGAGTATGTAGAACTAAATCAGGCCTGACAAAACACAAGCATTTTCCCAGTGCAGTTGTAAACAAAAGTTTACATACACTTGTAAAGAGCATGTATATCATGGCAGTCTTGAGTTTCTACTGACCCCTGCATCTCTTACTTTTTCATTTATAATGAAATGATTGAAACACGTGTTTTTCACAAAAAACAATTATACATTTTGTTTTTTTCATAGATTTATAATAGGTCTTCTGGAACTATGACAAAAATCAACCGGGTCACAAAATACAAACAGCAATGCTAAGATTTGGTCAAATGACCTTTAACCATTTTCACCTCAACTAGGTGTTTTGGTAGCCATTCACAAGTTTCTGGAAAGCCTCTGGTTGTATGTTTGACCAGTCCTTTTGACAGAATTGGAGCAGTTCAACTAAATTTGTTGGCTTTCTGACACAGATTTGTTTCTTCATCACAGTCCAGAGGTTCTCAATGGAGTTTATGTTAGGACTTCAGCAAGGCCAGTCAGAAACCCTAAATCTGGCCGAATTTAGCCATTTCTTTACCTCTTTTGATCTGTTTTTTGGGGTCACTGTTTTGTTGGAACAGTCAACGGGCTGATGATTTCAAACGACCTTAGTAATGTGGATGTAAGAATCCTTCTTCATTGTTCCATTTACTTTGTGTAAAGCACCAGGTCCAATGGCACCAAAACAGCCCCAGATTATAATACTACCACCACCATGTCTGATGGTATGTTTGGTTTTCTTGGGGTCAAAGATGATTGTTTTTTGTTACAAAGACACATGTGATTTAGTATTTTCATCATAGAAAATCAAGAACTATAGGAGTCATTGGAAACTCTGCCATGTCTGCCATGATATACATGGTGTTTGCAAGTATATGTAAACTTGAATATGACCTGTTGCATGAGAGTAAAGGGTCAATAATTTAAGGTCAATCATCAAAAGTATTCTAATCACAGGTATATAGTAAACAGCAACATTCACGATCTAAAAGTAACTAAATAGTTTTTGACTAGTTTTACACGGAATACTTTTTACTTTTACCTCAAAGTTTTTTGTTTTGTTTTTAGTTTTTAGAAAAATGAATACTTTTAGTTTTACTGCAACATTTGCTTGCATTCCTCAATTTACCTTATCATTTTATAAGTTTATGCACATGTCATTAAGACACTTGTGGTCTACTGGTGCTCTGTTTATATTCCATTGCCATGTGGCTTATGGCAAGTTAATGGCTTCTGTAGCAAGCCATTTTAACATTTTATACTTAAGTTTGACAACCTTGCATTGAAACTACAGGTATTCACAAATATAATAGAAATACTTTATTAATTCCTAAGGGGAAATTTGGTAGTTACAGCAGAGAGAGTAAAGTTACCACCACCATAAATACAGAAAAACAGCAGTAACCCACAAAAGCATGTTCTCCTTTACATATTCTAATAAAACATGATTTATCCTGCAGGGATTCAAACATGAGGACACCTCTGACCACTCCGAACATGACAATTCAGGCAGCTTAAATGTATAAAATACTTTGATTTGGGAGAAATATCTATTTAGGGGCAAAATAAAAAAAAAAAGCTGAGTCAGGTGAAGTCAGCATTTACCTTCAAATTTGTCAGCGTGTGTGAGTGTGTGTGTGTGTTTGTTGGTGGGATATGGTGGCACGTGTGTGTGGGAAAGAACACACACTCCCCACCATTTACTTTTCCACGTTTTAAATTTATGCCTAATCTGACCTGAGTGTTTATGTAGTCGAGGGACTGTCCTTGACAGTTTGGCCATTAGCCGACTTTGATAATGAGATTATGTAGCCTTGTCCACCAC